ATGCATGGTACACCCAGATCTTTCATTTTTTAACTGACTTAGTGAAAAAATGAAAAAAAGCCTCTAAAATTCCATCTCATGGAGAAATAAATTACATTAAATATATATATATATATATATATATCTATAGGCTGGATGCTCAGGTAGATAAGCTTTGTAACCCATAAAAGATGATAAGAATTGGTGTACTGCGATAAGAGAGAGTATTCACAACATACCAGTGTTGTAACTGCTCTATGAAAAGAGATTTCTGTTGATAGAGTTGTACATTTAGTAGGTAGAAAAGCCATCAATCAAGCTAAGAAGAAAGTAGGCATAAAATAGTTTGTCTAGAGTTTTGGAAATCTACTGACAGTTCATTCAAGTCAGTAAAAGCCTTCCCTGTCTTAGCAACTATTCAGTAACTTGACCTTCACCACAAACTCACCCTCAGAAACCTCTGTTATCACGGTGTAATCACAATCTTTTTCAAATCATCATTTTGGTACTGCAAATATTCAGGTCTGATTTTTAATCAATGACATATTAAGCATCAGCAAAATAGTTTGCTTAGCTGTTCTGTTGGTAATTTTTAAAAAGGAATGAAAACATGCACCCTTTTGATTACCTTGTTAAAGTGAGTCATGATGGCATTATAGGAGTGCTCAATGTTTCTACTGTAATTAAGAATGTCATATTTTTCATTGAAAAGCTTTTTTTTTTTTTTTTAATGAGTTTTAACTTTGTTATTTCAGTCTGTGTTAGCCTGTAACATAGCATGCAACACTCCAAATAGATGAAGACATAATATTTGAAGTTTGCTTCTCATAAATATTATCAATATTAAGTTGTCTATAAGATGCACAATAACATATTTAATACGTAAATTCTTTGTATTTCAACTACAAGATACCTTTCTTTTTAAAATTAGATTTTGCAAATCCACACTACAAAGCACAATAATAAACACCAGATATAGAAGAACATTTTCAAATATAAATAAATGGTTATTTATAAAGCATACAAATAAAACTTAACATTTTTGTTATTCTGGATCCAATTTTCTACACTCTTTAAATTAAGTTATTAACATCCTTCAGACTTGAAGCAGAATTTGCTCACCAAAAAAACCAATTTCTTTCAGGAAGCAAGGTTTAGAAGCATCTCATATAAAGACAAACAAACAAAAAAGAAAAAAATAGCTGATTGAAAATAAAATCTTTACAGAAGGTGACAAAGTCACTAGGAGAGAAACTGGAGTAAATATATCATGGCATCTGAAATTCTGTAGCATCTGCTAGAGACTTTAAATCGGTAATCTCAGTTGTTTACTAGAAGCATTTCCAATGTACACATTTCAACTATAAACACTTCATAGAGAATATCCTTTCTCTTCTATACAATTTGTGTTGTTTGTTTTGTTATTATTTTCACTGATATCAGAACGCAGTTTTGGTAGGGTTATTTCCAAGATGATATATTGGCTTGCCTAAGAGCTTTTATACAAACTTGAGGACGTTGTATTGCTGCAGTGAAATACGTCAGTATGTCACCTGAAATAGCTCTACTGCTCAAGCAGACAAAGAGGGCATAAAGATATTAAAAATGACCTGGTGCCAAATTTTACTTCTGAATCACTGAAATAATATTGATTCCACAGAAGAAGGTGCGCAAAAACAGATATTTCTAATGTACAACACTTGATTCTTACAAGCAATTGTAGAAAGTCAACAATTTTTTTTTCCATCTTTTTTTCAGTTGATAAACCAATTACCTGCCTAAGCTCAATTAATACGCAGATGGGGCTATATCAAGCATCCAAAATCCAGAAAATTAAAAAAAAAAACAAAAACAAAAACAGATTAGGACTTCACTACCAGGTTTTAACAATCCATACATAACATTATTTCCTGCTTTCCTCAAACTATATAATGCACTGTGTTGCTCAAACTTTCTTGCTTCAATAGTTTCTCATTGCTGTACAAGTAAATCTACATCCTTTGCTACTAATATACACAAACCTATTGGTATGTGACTTTGACTCCAGGTTGAGAACAGGTTATAAATTTAGAAATCAATATCTAACTCTATCAATATTCATTTTATTTTTTCAATACAAAATACAAAGGTGAAAGAGCAGTAAATAAGTTGGAGTACTGAAATAAATTGGGTGTTCTTGTCACAATTAATAAACGTTTAACCAATAACACTGCTTGCTACAGAAGTCTATAGCTTTTAAGAAGTCTGAAAATAGCAGGTGCTTCTCTTGTGAGACTCAAAACAGAGAACATATTTCAATACTTCACTGGTATTGCCAGTTATTCTCTCCACTACTACTGAATCTAAATATTTAAATGATAACTTTCAAGGCTGTGCATAGCACTACTTCAGCAATTTAGCAATTTCTTTATCACTAATGTTTTTTTGAAAAACACAGATGATTTTTAAGACGTTTCCAGAGACTATAAGCTTAAGCAGGTCATGCTTTTTGTGATGCTATTAAATTCAGTAGTTTATTTCCACTTTTTCCTCATAGCATACTAGAATGTTCAGTTTAAGTAGTATACTTTAAGAAGCAAAGTCTATGGAACTGTCTGATCTACAAGGGCTGCTCCAGAAGTAATGCCTCCCACTTTATTATGCTGGCCCACAACATTAGAGATAGATGTTGGTGGAATGGAAGCAGAGGTGGAACCTTCCTGCCAGTATTCCATTGAAGACTGTTGCCATATGACAGATGGTAGCAGAGGGGCAGTCTGACAGAATACCATCTGACATGGAAGTGCATATCAAGCAAAGGGGTGTCACTGAATTTTTCCACATGGAAAAAACTGTACGCAATGACATTCATTGATGTTTGCTGAATGTTTATGGAGACCAAAAAGTGGATGTGAGCACAGTAAGGTGGTGAGCATGTTGAAAATTAGAGCAAACTTTCAGCTACAAAACATCACCAAATAGTGTTATTATGCTCTCTGTATATGTTGCAGTTTCTATGAAAATAAATAGGAGGCATTACTTTCAGAGCAACGAATGTACCTTTGGTTTTTTTTCAGAGGACCGACTTCTATTAGGCAAAACACTGCAGCATATGCGTCTCAGGAAAATTTTTGCAGTTAATCACTCATTTACAGCCAGCATTTCAGATTTCACTGTTAAATAAGGAAGATTATTAGCAGAATTCTACTTCTATCTTCCAACTTCCATTCAAGTAAGTACACACGTATATATTTTTCTTTCAAGAAAATATTTATTCACAAACTCTTCTGCATAAAATTTAGTCCTTCTGTTCCTATATCTTATCTGAAACAATTGAAAGGAAAATAATACAATATTAAAAATGACCATTTTAATTCAGATTTCCAGGTGTATTTTCATTCTTAAAGGATACCATACACCTTCCATAAAATGGTTTAAAATATTAACATATATTATCAAGCCTCATAACAGATGAGCTATAACTTAGTTGTAGGAAGAAATGCAGCGAAGGAAGTAGTAATAATTTATAAAATGTTACATACTATCTACGTGTATGTGAAGTTTACAAAAATGGCTTAAAAATTTACAACAGACAATGTACAAAGTTGCTTAAAAATGTACAAAATGCAGAAAAAACTTGAAAGCACAGAAAAAAATCCTACCTCGTTCTTAAAGAAGAAAATTGAGAAGATTACATTGAATTTAAAAAAGAAAATAACTCCTCAAATTATTTAAAAAGTATCCCATATGATACATCTACTCATCATTACTCTGTTATCCATCAAATAAAAGAAAGTCCTGGGAAAACTCAGAGTCTCTAAAACTGTAAATATAGAGATACACAATGTTGAATATAATACATTTGCTTTAATATCAAAATATTGGCTTTGCAAAGTTGCACAGAGGAACCAGATTGTAAAATAAAACATTGAACACTGAAAGCCCAAGGTAAAATGAACAATAAAATGAATTTCATGATATTTCATACCCTCTTAGTACAAAATGACATCCTTTAGTACTTGAAAGTTATCAAGTGAAAATCACCTTCTAGAAATAATTATATTATTCTCTCTTCAACCATTAAGAATTTTTCTTTCTCACTTCACATATGTTCAGAGTCTTCAAACCTGACCCACACATTCTCTTTTTCCATACTACTGCCACTGAGGTGCTTTAATAACATTTTTAATATTATTCTTAGTCTGTTACTGCCACTGAGGTTTAAAACAATGAAATTTCAGAAGAGAGAATTCAGCTGGAATACAAATATTAGCCTTCTCCAAAGACAGACATCTAGAATATACATGAAAAAACGTGTTATGTATAATTACATATGACTACCATGTACAATCCAGATTTACATATTACCAATACATAAAACGTCTTATGCTGACACGCACATGTACACCACCTATTGTTTCCAGTATGCACATATATAATTAATACAAACAAACTGACAGGTGTCCTATAAATCACTGCTAGGTATTGAAAAAGTCATTTCACAGCAGTGACATCAGCAAAATGCACACAATGGTTGTGACTTCGCATCTGTAAAAATCTTTCAGAAATGTGCTTGCAAATTGCTTCCTATTTAATCCACAGCATTAATTTTAAAGCTTATCACCAACTTTTCAGTTGTTTACAGGATATTTACTATATTCATATGCACTCCTTACAGAAAAATAAAAGACAACTTAAGTTTCTATCTTGTAATGCCTGAGTAGATACGAGCCATAATCTGTACTGTCCGTGATTCTTAGTGTATTAAAAAAGATACAGTCTCTTTAAATAAATGTTCTTACAAAGATTTAGAAATTGAGAATGTTTGGAGAAAAAAAAAAAAAAAAAAAAAAAAAAAGATATACTCTTTTAATTCTACTAACAGGTAAGGACAAAAAAAACCAAAAAAACAACAACAACCCTGAAGTTAGAATGTAAGTTACTGAATTTACCCAGCATTTATCTGGGTCACTGACCTACTGCTTCATATTTACAGATTTAACATCTTGTGTTTTGTGTTCTGTCCCACTGAAATTGGTTACCTGTGGGTCCTGGCAGGGGAGCAGCTTTCCTTCTCCGTTTGATGTCTCCCATGCACAATGATCCTAAATGCACACTGGTTTGCCTGCAAGTAATTACAGGAGGAAACTATTAACAAAAGAAGAAAAATGCCACAAACACAAAGCTTGTATAATCCGAACCTATATCAAAACATTCAACCGAGATGAAGCTGTGCTGTGAAGCCACCAATCTTGTTTATATCGAAGCATAATTATGTTTGTTGACAAGTGCTCAGTATCGAAACATAGCACCATAAATTGTTCTTGGAATGAATAATATAAAAGGGATGCTTTTTAATTTTCAAAACTGGTGATCTTTCTAGTGCAACATAAAACAAAAAACAAAAACACTGTTGCTTCTGACAGGAAAATAGCTAAGATTAATTATCTAAAGAAATCACAATATTGTTGGTACAATATCAATTGGCTAGTAATGCCTAACTGTCAGAACAACATTTACTGCAGGAAAACCATTGTCAATTTCTTTTTAAAGTAAGATGAAGAACAAATGAGAAAACATGAAACAGCCAACTCTTCAAAGGTACATGAAATCATCTTGCAGCACATCAATTTGCCCTTTGCTAATTCAAAGGCACGGTGTGATAACAATATAACAGAGCACAATGTCCAGTCTCTCATTAAACAATCATAAGCTTAAGACTGGTAAACTACTGGAGCTGCTTAGGACAGTAGACAAGCCAAACTTACTGCATTAAAGCCATAAAGCCATCTATGTAACAATGAGGTACCACAGGAAGGGGTAAACTTGGAATTTCCAAATAATGAATTTTGCAATATAATTTTAAAGGAGATATTGTTTTTCACAAAGTAATGTGCAATCCCTGCAGAAAGTAACATACGTACTTGGCTTTTTTTTTTTTTTTTTGGTAAAGAAATGAAACCAAACAGGGGATAAATGGAATAATTTACAAATGCCACAATTTTATTGTTTCCAAATATGTTATTCAGAACTGTGAACCTCTTACCACAGTATTGTGGTGAATTTTGATAAAAGTACAAGCTGAGAACTGCATCTGATAGTCTACTGTAGCATAGTAATACTCTGTTACTTAGGGAATCTGGTTTCATCATAGATATATGACCTAGACTTTACTGCATGTATAATTTTTTTTTAAGCTGCGATGCTCCTAAATGAATAACAAACGATCGTTTATGTAGACAGACTTCAGATCTTTTCAATAATGCAAAAAGTGAAAAGAGTATACTGATTTAAAAAATGGCAATGTACAGTATTCTATATACTTAAAAAAAAAAAAAGATACAGTAAACTAAGAAAGTATTAAGAATGTACTTCAGTGCTTTTATTTAAATAGTAAAATATTCCAATAAATAACTTTCATGCAGAAATGTATTCCAGCTTCACTTAAAGAGTCCCTATTTCAACATGTTTCTCTCTTATTTTCAGTTTTTTTCTTCCTTACAGTTCTAAGTTGAAATACCACCCTATTTAACATCCAGAAACTGCAGTAGAACCAGTATACTAACAGTGCTATATTTCAGTCCAAATTCAGACAGATATCAAGGAATGTAACACATAACCAACTGTATAATACAGAAAATGAATACTTAAACATAATATGGGAAAATAAATATTTAAGAGATACATATAACATTGATATTAAACGTGTAGAGTAAGTTGTGTGGCAATTTATATGCCAAACAGTGTGCAACTCTGCACTTTCAGAATGAAAAATGGAGAAAGTCTCCAGGAATACAAGCAGGATGAAAGATAAAAATTAATAAAGTCAGGCAATTGAACCTGAAGACACAAGCTAGAGCAGTAACAGCTAGTAGTGCTTGAGTTATTTTACCCAGAATTGATTATCTGTTATACTACATTGAGATATCCAGATTATTGATCTGTAAGATTATGGTACTTGGGTCTCCCCACTTTTCCTCCAGGCACAGGAATGGAGTTGCAACAAATAATACTAAGTAAGGACTAGTTTGTTATTGTTGTCACCCTTCATGTAGAACACAGCAGTTACTTTTTAATTTAAAATCAATGAACATCTGAAAGGCAGTCCTTTCCTTCAGCATAAATGAATCATTTGTCTTTGCAAGGCACAACAATCTGATCACCAGCCAAGGTGAGTTTGGGTATTTCTTTCTTGTTGAGAACTCCGTGTGCCACAAATAAATAGCAATATGCTAGAGTCCCAATTAAGCTTTGTCAAATCTGGTTTTATGGCCACTAACACCAAGTCTCTGGCTCTCAATGCAGAAGTGGAGTTCACTTTCACCAGGTCTTACCATCTGATATCTGCCATTCAGATCACAGCGAAACATAAAGCTAAGGGTTTTAAGAGGAATGGACAAGAACCATCACAGTTCTTGAACTAGCAGTTAGATGAAATGAAACATCGTACTTCAGCAGAACACTACATTTTGAAATGCTTGTAATGGGGGTATTAGAAAGTAGGGAGAACTCTGACCCTCAATCAGGCTAAGTTCAGCATTATGTTCCTTAGCATTAAATCAGAAGAGTGAGGATTACAGAAAGGAAGATAGCTATTTGCCTGACTACTCTCTACTTATCCCTAGCTTGCTTCTAGCTATCATTTATAAATAGTGCTCTGCAGGGAAGCCAGGCATTTTACTAGGGAAAAAAATAAAACTTGTTAAGACCACCTTGCCTGAAAACTTGGCTTTTGACGAGCTGGTGACAGGGACTAGAGCAAGCAGTGTCAAATGGAATAATTTTTAAGGAAAGACAACAGGAACTTGTCGCCTCATTGTATGCATTTACAAATAGAGGCTTTCCAGAGTATTAGGCTTAGTTAAAACTGCCCTCTGGATAAAAAGTGTTCCCAAGCAGCCTCAGACAAGCTTGGGAGACAAACAGATGTGACTATGGTCCCTGGCGTTTGGCAAGAACACTCACTGTCAATAAGAAAAATATGAGCATGGACAGGGCATCAGCTGCACCATGGCAGAGCAGGCCTGCAAGTGTCACAGCCGCGGCAAAGTTGTGGCAGGGGGAAAATCAGAGGGCTGCAAAAGCCAGGCTGGTGTGAACTTACACTAGCATGCCAGGAATTGTTGTTGTTGTGGCATGCCTCAACATATTAAACAAAAACACTGGATAAACTACTGTCAACTTTTACTTATTTATTAAAAAAATCTTGGGTGCTTCATTAGACACAGTAAATAAGAGCCTCAAAACTGAATACAGACTATAGAAAGCAGGAACAGCAAAACAATCTACAAAAATCTGTGGAAATAACAACAATGAAAAGCTGTTTTGGTACAGAAATATGTTTATCTTCTGTACAGAAGTAACATCACACAAGACTATTTAGAAGCATGTAGACATTGTGACAAACATTCAGACAAATTCTGTTATCTCCTTAAATAGTGGCAGTTTTCCTATCATTTTTTTTCCTCAAGAGACTTGCCCTTGTTATCATAACATACAATTTTTGGCATCTTCAAACTCCCCAAACAATTGTATCTATACCTACAGAACAGTCTCCTCTTTTTCCCCCATAATTATCAAAGTTGAGTAAGTAAGTGATTTTCATGAGCGCCTTTTCTGTTACTCATGTCATCATACAATCATAAAGTAGCAGAATGTTTGGGGTTGGAAGGGACCTTAATGATCATCTAGTGTCAACCTGCATACCACGGCAGGGTTGCTACCAATCAGATCAGGTTGCCCAAGGCTACATACAGTATGGCCTTGAACACCTTTAGGTGTCCAAGACATTTGTTAGAGGTTATATCAGATTTATATCTGCAAAATCCCTCTGTAGACAATGGGCCTTTTGGGAACATCCCCCAAACAAACCATTGTGTGATGGAACCTACAGCTGCATGGCTTACATGGTGACCCACACTGAGAGCACCTGAACACACAGCTCTGCTACTACTGGAGTTAAAAATTTACTAGCTCAATCATTGAGAAGGGCAATATGATGAACTGGTTAGTTGATACTCTCCCAGATGACTTTTAGCTCACTGATTTATTACATGCTACTATAGTCACAACCATTCCAGGAGTAAAAAACAAACAAAAACCAAACAAAACCCCCACACTCCTAAAACAAACAACTACAGCAACAATCCCAAACTCAATGCACCCCCCAATTAAAAAAAAAAAAAACAAAAAACAAATAAAAAAGCACAAAAACCAACTAATCCCATAATTACTCTATAGTATCTTCAGAACGAAGCAATGAAGGCTGTTATTAATGCAGTTAACTTCATTGACATTCAGTATATTTACTGTCAAACCATTTACCTTACTACACTACAACATTGCTAAGATAAACTTGTAAGTAATGGAGATTACGGTTTTATGTTCCATGTTAAAAATGCATAAAAGTACTGATGACCAACAAAGTCAGATGTGGGAGAGTGTGCATTTTTTATTTAATAACATATTTTTTTTTAATATCTATACTCTTGATTTGGAAAATCCTATGCTGGAGGCTATTACAGCAGAATAATCTTTTGAAGAAGGCTGATTTCTATACTGTAATTAGGTGAACCTGTAATGATCAATACTTGTATATCCATTACATTCCAACCAACATCTCTCTCTCACCTGAGGAACAAATCCACTGTAAACAGTGCCACATCATTCTGCCACAGTATCAATGAATTCCTGCAGATGGCTGTAGAACTCTTCAATTTTATCATCAGAATGCCTTAGCTACTGTAGAAGCCTGACAAAAGTTTATAAGCAAAATTCTTTAAGAAGAGATTAAAATAAAGCAAGAGTTGACGGGTTTGCAGTCTAGAAGAGACTTGAAAGAATTATTTTCAAGTGGAAATGTAATTGCCATTTCTCAGTCTTAAAATATAGATAAGCAATAGATATGAATATAGATATAATTGAAGACAGAATGTAGTGAGGACCATGATTCACATTACGCTTCAAATGCTTTGACAATTCCTTACAAGCTGAAATTAAGTAGATGGTATGTGAAATAACATTCACATTATCATAAAGATTAAAAAAAGCAATAGAATTCAAAATTGCATAACAGAAGAAAGTCAATAAAATGAAGTGCATTGTGTAACTCAACTTCATAAAATC